AACTGCTGCCCCGTTATATGTCTTATCAATCAATCAATAAATAAATAAATAAATAAATAAATAAATAAATAAAATAAAAATAACTTTTGACAAAAATATATAAAATTTTTAATTGTATTTTAAGTTGAAAGAACAAAGTTTATTTAAAATATAAATATTTAATATACATTTAAACTTAAATAGTCAAATTCCATGTAGCTGTCTCAGTCAGTTCGGTTGTTATCTCATAAATAAGAAAGCATGATGATTAATGTTTTGGAAATAAATTTAAATAATACTGCTAAACATGAAGTTCAAAAGAACGTTGTTTATTTGAAACATTTTGTAGCATTACGCATGTATTTACCATCACTTTTGATCATTCTAATATAGGTCTCAAACTGGATTCCTGGAGGGCCGCAGCTCTGCACAGTTTTGCTTCAACCCTTATCAAACAGCTGATGCAACTAATCAAGGCGTTCAAGACTACTAGAGACTATTAGGCAGGTGTGAGTTGGAGGTGGCTGGAGTTAAACTATGCAGAGCTGTGGCCCTACAGGAATTGAGTTTGAGACCACTGCTCTAATGCGTCCTTGATGAGTAAAATGATTCATTTCTTTTAAAAATCAAACCTTACCGACCCCATTTTTCTGCTTTCATAAATATGCCTGTGAAGTAAAATAACTATGTTTTACTGACACTTTACTGTGCTTCCTAAATAAATAAATGTGTAAATTTCTTTTAAAAACAAAGTATTACTGACCTACTTCCCTTACAACCTGTGAAGTCAAATTAGATGTGCACGAGGGCCTAATTAATAAATTAAATCAAACTAAATGAGTATTAAAAACAATATTATTGTCAGCTCTGCTGTTTTCACAAGGCTAATTCTTTTATTAAGCTTTATAACTGAATATCCTGAAGAAAGACGAAGGAAAAACCAAACCAGTCAGTCAATCCATCTGTAAATATTTACTTCACAAGAACTCAAATAAGCAAAATCAGCCTGATATTTTTGCACAATATTAAAACCACAAGCTCATGCGAAAAGTATTCAAGTCTTGAAATAACCAGCATATCCAAAGCAGAACATCCACAAATTCCCCAATCCGCTTTAAACAATTAAGACTTCAGAAGATAAAACAGCAATCCTTTAAAGGCTGCTTGAAGATGTGAGTCGGATAAGAAGAAAAAGAGAGCAGCATTCTTTCAATAGCAGCTGTCATGTCTCTGTAAGCTTAATATCAGAAAGAGGCTTTAATAACAACATTCCTGGCCTCTGTTTTTTTTTATCCTTCTCTACAGGTCACATCCAGAGGAACTCATTTCTTGGACTGGGACCTTGATCTATTTCGGGTCTGCCTGCTATTTATAGGACATTGTGTGCTTTAAAAGTGGAGGAACAGGGGATGTGAAGGGATCAGATGGATAAAGAGAGCTCGGAGAACTTCGGGTCAGACTCACAAAACTAATCCGGACACCCTTTATATGAATTAAGGAACGCTTGAATGAGAAATAGCTGAAGCTAATTGTTTTAACTGCGGCTTCAAATAGAGCCGTTTTGCGGTGATAAACTGAGACTGTGCAGGACTGGAAACATTGTGTTCCCTCCGAGTGACAATGTGAAATAAGGTTTGCTTTTATAGAAATAGCACATGAGCTTCACGTGTGCGGTCATACTTCACTAGTGAGTTCAACATGTGATTGCACATGAGGCTTTTCTTTAAGTGTGGACCTACAGATATTTTGATTTACATTTCAAAGTTCTGTTTAAACCCTTTTTTTTTCTACATTTTTTATAGTCACCTAGGGTCCATTTTCTTTTTAAAATGTATTAAGTCATTAAATAACTTTTAGTGGACTTACTGAATTTAACATGTTTGAGATTTTTTTAAGATTGGCTTTATTCAAGTTCTGATAACATTTGACTTCATTTCATTTTCCTTCGGCTTTATTCATCAGGGGTCGCCACAGTGGAATGACCCGCCAACTTATCAAGCATGTTTTACACAGCGGATGCCCTTCCAGCTGCAACCCACCACTGGAAAACATTCATTCACACTCATACACTACGGCCAATTTAGTTTATTTAATACACCTGTACAGCATGTCTTTGGACTGGGGGAAACCCACGCCAACACAGGGAGAACATGCAAACTCTACACAGAAACGGCAACTGGCCCAGCTGGGACACGAACCAGCGACCTTCTTGTTGTGAGGAGAAAGTGCTAACCACTGAGCCACCGCGTCGCCCCGGTCTGATAACATTTATTTTAAATACAAATATTGTCTTTTAGAGCTTTTTTTTCTGTTCAAAGTAACAATTGCTCAGAATAATAACACATTTTTATTACTTAAAATTTCCCAGTTCTGGGTTGCGGTTGGAAGGGCATCCGCTGCGTAAAACATATGCCAGAATAGTTGGCGGTTCATTCCACTGTGGCCTGATAAATAGGGGACATGGCCGAAAAGAAAATGAATATTCAAAATTGTAGCCAAAAAAACTGTGAAATGCAATGTACAAAATGTGTATTGAACATTGTTATTAATTTATTTTTTATTATGTACTGTTGTTATTTGAATTTATGTAGTTTATTTATTTTCACCTTTTTAATTATTTGTTTGATCCCTGATGCTTGAATATTTCCCTGATGCTTATCTCTATTTTTATTTATTTATTTATTTAGTTAGCTAGTTAGTTAGTTAGTTCTGAAGTTCAAAATAAATATATTTAGTTTGGTCCAAAATGTGCAATTATCCACTCCATATGAACTTTAAAAAACAGCAGTTTTGAATGAAAAACATACAGATTACTGTAAAACCATTGTTAAAACTTTGCAATCATCAGTATCGATAAACAACATACTACAATCCTACAGCACTCTAAACTGGCTTCCGTCAGTGTCATTAGAGCACAAAACAGACAGTGAATATGGCAGAAGAGTGGTATAACTCAAGCTGAATGCCAGTGTTTCCCCAGCCTGTGCAATGACACCGCTGTGATCTGCTATAATCCATCTCTAATAAAAACACATGTTCAGTGCTGTGTGTTGTGTGTGTGTGAGCATTAGAGTGTTTCCCTAGACTTTATTTAATGGTCAGAGGAGTTCCTGAATGCAGACAGATGCCAGATTAAGTGTTTCCGCTTTTTCTGTGTCTCTCCGCCAGTATTTAGTGTGCATATAACAGCTGCCATCAGTCATGGATTTATTTCATGCCATATTTTGAAGTGTTCTGCTGAGAAGTGCTGTGAGGAAGTGCTTACTGTTTATTATCTATATGCTTCTGTTGCTTAAAACAAGTCAAACACTTGAATTCTGTCATCATTTACTCCATTAGAAGATATTGTAATACTTTAAGATATTGTAATGCATACTTCTGTGCATTATACACATATATACACAGGTATTTTAAATAATGTCTCAAAACAAGCAAGCTCTTGTTGTATACATACACTTGTTTTCAGCATAACATTTCTTTAAAATAAAAAAAAATTAAAAATTAAACTATTATAAACTAAGAGTATGCACAAATATCTGTCCAGGTCAGTGTCCTCAGCAGTAATTAAGTGGAGAACTATAAAACAAATGTTACTGTAAGGAAAATAATTAAAACATTATGGTAAACCAAGTTAAAAATAGCATTTTAAAATAAAAAGTTATAGGTTTTATTGAGGTGAAATGTTAGTGATGGTCAGATTTAGTAGCTATACAAGAACAAAGGAAAATTAAGACCATTTTAATAAGATTTAAGACCTACAACACAATGTTTCAGCAAATGTAAAACTTTTTAAGGCCTACAATTTGGTTTTTGAGATTTAGGACGTTTTAAAACGTTTTAAAACCTTGCAGACACCCTGTATATTGTGTGTAATTTATTTACATGGAGTATTGTTTAAATGTTTATGAATTTTTAATCACCAAGGCTGCTTTTTTCATAAAAGAAATCACTTTTACTTGATTTACTAGTAACTTTGCAATATACTGCATTAGTATGCAGCTTAAATTACAATTTAAAGGTTAGTTAGCTAAATTAGGTTAACAGGTAAGCTACAGCACAAACATGGTTTGTTCTGAAGGCAGTGGAAAAAATTTATTTCTTAATGGGACTGATAAAAATGCCGATTTACATGTACTTTTCTCTTTTTTTATTCCAGCAAAACGAAAAGAAAGAGAGAGAGAGAACTTTGAGTTTATAGCCATATCAGCTTCTATGGCTGTGTCATGGCAAAATAAAATAAAATTAAAAAAAGATCAAGTTTATCACATTTTATAAATCACACTTTTCTAAAATTATAAAAATATTACATTAACAATTAAAAGTAATCAACAGCAATAAATACACAAGATAAAAATACATAAATAATAATAAATGACAACATATAAGTAGGGTTGTCATCATACCATAAATTTAGGCTAAGATACTACACCAGCTGAAGTATCACAACATCCAAGTAGTATCTATATTTTATGTGTTAAAATACTTAAATTTAAATCACAGTTCATTTATAATTTAGACCTTATACATATTTATTTGTACAGCTATTCTGTTTTATTTGTATATACTGTGACTGTTCTGTTCCATGTGCAACATTAACCGTTAGAACTGTCAATGATCATCCTACCGATTACAAACTACAGAGGCACCGCTAGTATTTTGCAGCCATAGCATCACGGTGCTACCGATAACCGTGCAACCCTATATATATATAAGATAAAAAATTGAAAAACTGTGTTTTAAGGTTTACTTTTGAAAATTGTACAATTTTAGAAGGATTTGCATTTAAAAATATTTAATTTAAAGTCTCTCCAGATAGAAATTGCTGTCTGATAACATAAAAAATAGGGCATTACACAATAATATGTTTAACAGTTTGGTTTCTGTAGCAATGTTGATATTTTGGGGTTCTTCTTCATTGAGTAAATGTTCATGTGTGAGTCTTGTGTGTCCAATACAGCATCTTCTGAAAACAATCTCATCATGTCTTGAACTAAAAAAATAAAAATTGGATTCTGTTCCTATTTCAGGTTGAATTTCAAAAAGTTTATTTTTCGAGCACTGATCCTATTCTGCTTGCCATTTGTTAAAATGTATTCAGGAAAACTTAAAGAAATAGGACTTTCTATAGAAGAGAAACATAATAGGAATTACAGTGAAACAGTAAAATAGTATAATAATATATTCTCTTATATATATATATATATTTGTTTATTGAGAAACCAAGTATTAAATAAACTAATATTATTATGCAATTTATTTTATTTGAATCATTTTTGGCCATTTCAAAGACCTTCACATGACTGATGGCTTGATTTTATGCCACTAATGAACTAAGTTCTTGCTGTGTTAAACATCACTTAGAAAATATCTAAAAGAATCAAAATTTCGAAGGAATGCTAATCATTTTGTCTTTAACTGCATTAGAGGCCTAAAACAGGCCTAAAACACTCAATTGAGAATAATAAATAAATACATTTTTGTCAATATTGCACACAAAATTAGCTTATAGGTGTTTAGTATCACATGAAACGCTTACAGTTAACGGTTAATAATGACAGCATTTTTTGTGAGCAAACATAAGGTGAAGTGTGCAGTTCATGTCTAAAGCAGCACCATACAAAACTCCCAAGATTTTTTTTTCCCACACAAAATCAAGTTGTATATGCCTCCTATGATGCTTAAGTGCTAATATAAGTAATATTTGTTTGAGAAATACCAAGTTTTTTGTGCATTTGAGGTAAAAAAAAAAAAAGTTTTCCACAGTGTCTGCACACCTTGAGCTTCATCGGTATAAGAGGTAACTGATAATACGGTTGGGAATATCCAGTTTTCCCACCACATCTTCAGCATTGGTGCCCAGGACGGTCCTCAGAGTAATACGGCAGATCTGCTGCAGAGAAAGAGGAGAACCTGCAGAAAAATACAAGATCATGCAGCATTTAAATCAGTAACACTATCATTCATTAACACACAAATAGGTTTTAAACATCAGAAGTAAATAATTCAACTCATTTAAAGCTTATTTGTATAACACTTTTCAAAATAATTACTGTTTCAAGCAGCTTTACAAAAAGTACACACCACATTATTGCATTACAATTAAAGACAAAGTTAAGGTGTTTAGTTACCATGTGTTTATTAGTAACTAATAACTAATTAACTAGTAACTAAGACCTTTAACGGTTATTATATATAAACATAGTTAACCTGCAGTTATATAGAAGCTGATGTCTATGTGTACATGTTCAATGGAGAGTATGTGTTGGGCCTTGTCATTTTGTGTGGCCATGCTTTTACTGTCAAGTGCCATTTCTGCTAATCCCGTGTATATTTTGACATTGCATTTGGTTTCTATGGAAGGCAAACACGATAAAAGAGAGCATTCCAGAAGATAAAACTATCTTGTATGATTAAATTCAAGACCAGGACCTTCCGTCTTATCATTCGATACACACAACCTGAATGTCTGCAGTGTCGTTTTCATTCTCTCCACTCTCTAAATACCATTACAGGAAAATATTTACTTGCTCCTAGGCCACGGATTCTCATTAACGTGGTTTACATTCTGAAGAGGGGCACTGGATCGGGTCTTGAATATGTGTTTTGCGGATGAGAGTTATGACGGATTCCAGACCAACAGCTTGATTTTAATCTCATCATCATAAACTTCAGGTAATTGTTTACAACATCACATACAAAACATCCTGAACTGCACCAAGGCAGCAGAGCCGGCTGTGCATCACTGCTGCGTCAGGTGTAAAATACAACCAAAACACCACTAGAATCATAACATTTAAGACTAACATAACATAACATAATTCAACAGTTGGAACATTTTAAATCTTACCAGGAGAACAGAGAACACACTGAAGGAATGAACTGATGAACCACATGAACTAAACCGTGCTAAACCATTGATAAACCATGAGCACCATCTGCTGGACATTTCCCACAACTGTTATTTAAACGACTTCAGTCCAAAGTTTATTTAGTTTGATGTAATTCATTTAAAGTGCATTTAGTTTAATGTAATTCAGCAAATTTATGAATTAGGATTTTGTAAAGATATAGAAATTATAAACAGCTATACAAAAATGGTATTTTAAATCTGTATTTTTAAAATGAAATGTCGCATTATAACTATAAACTAGATAAATATGTTGTGTAAACTACTGATAACAATTCTTCCAAATTATTACAATTCCAAATTATTGTGCATACAATAACAATAAGGTGGTATGCTTTAAAACGTTTCCTTTATTTCCATAAAATAAATAACTATTTAAAAAATGTATTCTATATTACAAAGTAAAAGTATACCATAAAATAGTTCATATAGCAAATGTAACCCATTTTTAAAATACAATTACTATATAATAACAATTAGGGCTGAAAAATCTGACATAGCGATATTTCCTTTTTCTGCAATAAATATTGCAATATCAATACAATTTTATTAGACACCTTAAATAGCTCTGTTGGTGAAAAAAAAATCACTAATTTAGACGGGTTGGGTTGATTCTGTAAGGTTGTAAATCATGTATAAAAAATAAAATTGCAAGGAAAATTACAATAGAGCAAAAAAAAAAAAAAAATTAAATACACAGTTCTTCATGGTTTTTCGGAGAGCCAAACAGTATTCAGATGCAGAAATGTATTATGTAGAATAAGACTGTATAGTCTTCATTGTATTAATAATTCAGTATTATTATTCTTCGTTAAAGTTACAAATGTTGTACGCCATTGTGCCCGAATGCTTTACACTTTCTTGAAATGCCTTTAAAACACATGCAGACAATTACATTTCACTTTGTAATGGTTATACTTTGCAATGACTCCACAAATCTCATGTACTCTCAATTGTTGATTAACTATAATCCCAACTAAACATTGCATATCCTGCGATGTGACTATTGCGGACACACACATTGCGATATCGATGCTGAAACGATATATTGTGCAGCCCTAATTACTATAATACATTTCTAATAACTATAAACAAATTTTACACAAACACAAACTACTGCCTTGCACTATTATGTCTTTCTTTCCTTTTTTAAATTCCTTTAAAACCTGTTTTACACTTTTTAACATACGTTTTATTCTTCAATTTGATTTCTTATACTTGTATTTTATGTGTCTTTTATTCTTGTTTATGTAAAGCACTTTGAATTACCATTGTGTATGAAATGTGCTATGTAAATCAACTTGCCTTTGTCTTATTAATTTGTAAGGCGAGGTTTTAATGTTGACATGCACTCACTCTCATAGAGCTGAAGGCAGTGCGCTGAGGGTGTGTTTGGCCTCGTGTAGTCCACTGGCTTCCTGTCATATTTGTCTCGGGCGTAAATATTGGCACCAAATTCCACCAGCATCTCAATCATGTTCACATTGTTGGTCCTGGCGGCGTGATGTAAGGGCGTCTCATGGAGCCTAGTGGCATTGACGTGCACACCTGCACACAAACATATGACAAAAAGACTACTCTTTTGTTTGTTTATAAATGAATAGGTAATACTTTAGTTTAGGTCACAATTCATAGTATTAACAAACCTTTAACTAACACTACTAGCTTAATAAAATATTAATTAGCTGTTTATTAATATTTAGTACAGTAGAAGTTAGGCTAAAGTATTGGGTAGGATTAGGAATGTAGAATAAGATCATACTTACAACTAATCAACCCCCATCAACTACTAATACACAGTTAATATTTTAATAATAATAAGTAATACAACAGTAGTAAACAGAATGAATTGTGACCTAAACTAAAACGTAAGAGATGATTACAATGCTTTCCTTTAAAGATTTCAAATTTCTCTGAGGTTTGTATAATGAAGAATGAGAATGTGTCATTATTTAAATTCATCATCTGTATTTACCTGCATTTAATAGCACCTTGACACATTCGAGTCGTCGGTTGGCGCATGCCACATGTAGAGGAGTACCATGGTAAAGGTCATACGCCTCGAGACTGGCACCTTTAGCAATCACTAACCTCACACAGTCTGCATTACCTGAATAACACAGAATGTTCTTACATTATGCAGTGAATAGAAACAACTAATTATTTTTCTCAAGAAAGTTTAGCAAAGTAAATCAATAAATGTATAAAATTCTCTTAAATATTTTTTGTATTATTAACAGGTCAATTAAAAAAAAAAAATTTTTTACCTGATATTTGATAATTTTAAATAAAACAAACAAACCATAGGAATTATAAAAGGTCGAACAATTAAACAATAAAACAATTACTGCATAATTTATGAAAATGTATTTTTTTTAAATAATTAAAAATGTTATTTATGCATTTGAGGTATATATATATATATATATATATATATATATATATATATATATATATATATATATATATTTTATTTATATACATTATATATATATATATATATATATATATATATATATATATATATATTTTTTTTTTTTTTTTTTTTTTTTTTTTCATCAAAATAATTAATGCATTATGAATAAATAAAAAATACTTAACATATAGTAGGTAATAATGTAATAGCACACATTATAAAATATATTTATGTAAAAACTACAGAGCCTATACTACTAGCAAAATAGCTACTAGCATATTTTAAAACACTTTTATTTATTATATTTTTGTTTAGTAAATAAATTGTTAAATTAAATAATACTTTCACTATAAATGTATACAAATATTTGAAAGATTATGTACTACTGTAACAATTATAAAAGAAAAAAACACAATGTAAAAATTATTTTGAACCTTGTAATAATTATACATTATAAATAACTATTACAAATCCTGTATTTGCCATAAATGTTAGCAAAACCTAATCATTTTTTATTTTATTTTATAATTTGAAAACTGTATTTCTTAAAAATACACTGATACAATTTCACATGAAAGCACCAGACCTCCCATGCAGGCCTCATGAAGAGGTGAAGTGGTCCGCGAGGTGAGGGTTGGGTTGACTTTTGCTCCATAATCCAGAAGCAGCCTCACACACTCAAAGTTCCCGATGGAGCAGGCTTCACACAGCGGAGTGCTGCCATCCACGTTCCTTGCATCAACCTGCAACAAAACCCAGAAGAAACCGCTTTAAACACTGCACTTAAAAAGGCTTATTTACAGCTCCCCTAGCGTTAAACAGTACAGTTTTAACCATTTTTTTTAATCAATTCAATCTCTGAGTCTGGCAAGAGCATGTTTAGTTTAGCTTAGCTTAGCATAGATTATTGAATCGGATTAGACCATTAGCATCTCTGTAAAAAAAAAAAAAAAGATTATAATAATTACTTTTTAAAACTTCTGTGGTAAAACTGTTCACTAAGTCTGACGAAAGTTCCTTGATTATTACCTCAAAGTGAGAATATAGTTCCTAGCCACATTGACAACAACTTTTCATTTTCTGTCAGTCTTAGTATACGATGTAACTATAGAAGATTCAAACTGAAAAAAAAAAAAATTTAATTTGTTGAGCAAGATGCTAATGGTCTAATCTGATTCAATGATTTATGCTTAGCTAGGCTAAAAGTGCTGCCATTAGACGCAAAAATCAGCTGAATGGATTGAAAAATTTTAACTAACACTAGGGGAGTTGTAAAATTAACCTATTACCTACACTTGAGTTGTCTGAATCATTTTTGAGGACAGTACATGTGTAGCTGTTTGATACCTGAGCTCCTGCATCCAGCAGAAGTCTCACACACTGCGTCTGTCCGCGAGCAGCTGCTTCATGAAGAGGAGTGATGGAGTCCACAGCCACGATATTTACTGATGCTCCGCTCGAAATCAAATCCTGCAGCACCGACACCTCACCCTCATACGCAGCCTTGTGAACCTCCGTTCTCTCGGCCCAGAAACCTAAAACACATAACATACATAACAACATAACAACACACAAACACCATTAACACAAGAGAATATTTAACTGCATTATTTATGAATGATACACTGTTGTAATACTACTTTTAGTTTATGAGGTAAAACTTGATGGTTAAGCATCAATATATAAGCCAGATATGGAAAGACAACCTTTTTTATTTACTTCAAGTAAAATGTAATAAATAGTAATTTATGTAGTAAACATAGACGGTATATTTTGCTGCCTTTTTATAAAAGTTTTATTAACTAGTTGTATTCATTCAAGATAGTCATCACCTAACATCTTTAAGATAAGTAAAATAACACATTTTAAATTAAAATAGGGTGTAGCAAAAATTATTATACATTACTTAATCTAATATTTTCGATAGCCGCCTTGATTTTTCCTGTTAATTAGTTATATGTTATGCTTTCATGGTGTTTGTTTATGTGTGTGTATGAATGTATATATTTATAAATTTCCCTCAAATTACAACCGAATAAGCTGTATTGAGGATATATATCATGGATTTATACCATAGGTAATGACCTTACTGTTATTCAATGTCATTTTATTGTCATGCTAACAGTATAGACCATTTCAATCATGTGGTGATGCCATTGGTCCACGAATGTGTCCTGCTTGTTTTCAAACTATTTTAATAACTGCAACAAGAGGAAATTCAATCATATCTTAACATTATTGGTCAATATGTGGATCTTTTAGGATTCTTGGAAGCTATGGAAATTATATGTATAACGTTAAAGCAGGAAATAGGACCATTTTTATTGTTTACATCCCCCAAAATGGTCTATAGTTGACATCATATTAAAGAGCAATCCCAGCAAGCATTTTTGATGTCTAATAGACGTCTAAACAAAGTCCTCTTGACTAAAACAATGCTAAATTTGGGCTGTCCATGAAAATCTAATTGACATTAAGAAAAAGGCCATATCTAGACTAGTCATCAAGTTAACAGAAATGAATGACTACACATATAGTCTCAAATCTATTAAACGACTGGTCTAGTTTTGGGCTATTCTTAGACGTATGTTAGATTTTCACTGGCAGTCCAGGTTTAGCCTTGTTTTAGTCAAGCTTTCTACGTTTAGATGTATATTGAATACAAAATTGTTTGCGGGGATATTATGTGAAATATTCTAATATGTTTACAAACGGGACAACACGCCGCTGACTGACATTGCGGCGACACGCTTTCCTCTTGGACTTACCGATGTCACCAAAAAAATACGGTCTTGCTGTTTCCACTTCCATCCCAGTTTAAGTAAACTGATAGACAGTACAATTTAAACTTAAGACAGTCAGCCAGCTAGCTAATTGCAGCAGGAATTGTTTGCGTTTAGAAACGCGGCATATGCATCACGTGACCTGCTCTGTTTTGGTACTACACGCGACGTTTGTCCTTGACGCGCTCGACTGTGAATGCTGGGAGTTGTAGTTTATAGCGAGTGAAGAGCTGTCGACAAAAAGTGTTTGGACAAATAATAAATGAATCCCAGTGCATTAGTCACAGATACAAGCTAAGCAAGATTTTTTTCAATACCATTATAAATATTTAATGCATAAAAGACATTTTATAGAGGTTGGTAGTTAAAATATCACAAAAAGTTCTAAATATGTGTGAAAAGCAGTTGTACATTTGATTTTAACAAATATAATTTGCTTTTAGGGCCTCTTAATTGATAACTACGACACAATTTATAACATATATTTATTAATAATTATAATAAGACAATGTGGCACATTCAGAAGAAGTATTATTAATACAAACAACTTCTTAGGACCATATTCAGATATGTAAACTGTAGACCTACATTTTTCTGGATATATTATGTGGGTTAAATGTTAATATGTGTGGTATTATATAATGTATTCTGTAACATTTCTTCCAAATTTCAAATAAAATTAATGCATTAAATCAAATAAACAGCAGCTTCAGTAAATTATTGAGAGATGTCTGGATGCAGACCCGGTGCAGTGCAATCTGAGTTGCATCCAATGCTTTTTAATGCGCTCACCAAACCCCACAATCTCAGCTTGCATCATAAATGCTGCATCCAGATACCATTAAAATTAATAGATGTCTGTCTCTTGCAAAATTAAGACTCCACAAAATGTAATACACAAGTCTATTCAGAACTGATCAATGATTTAAACATGAGGTAATCAATGATGCGCTGTGAAATGTCTAGTTTGGGGATCAGCTCCATTGCTCTGGTGCCCACCATAGTCCTTATGATGATACGACACAGCTGCTGCAGAGACAGAGGGTTACCTACAAAAATAATACAAATAATAAAATACAAATGCACAGTCAATTAAACAATGCGAGACTTCTCATAAGATATCCCACATACAAAACTTCAACATACTGCCATATTGAAGAAGACAAAGATTAGTAGGAGAATCTGGCTTTGTGTAGTCTCTAGGTATATGATCCAAGTTATCACTTATGTTGACATCTCCACCGAACTCCACCAGCAGCTCCACCAGATCCTCTCTCTCCGCTCTCGCCGCATGATGCAGTGCCGTCTCATGGAACTTTGTGGCATTCACTTTTGCACCTTTGAAAAAAAAAGAAGAAGATATCGCAAAATTAGTGAGATCACAATGGTGGAATTTATAATGTGATAAGATAGCTTAAAGTACAAATTAAATATGATTTTGTAAGCTCACATTGCTAGTTTTGTGGGGAACAATTCATATAAGCAATGGCATTAAGAAAAAAAATAGTTTGCCCTTGTAATCTAAAATTAAAATCTGAACATGCGCTTTCTATTTGTTTTTAGTTCAGTTCTCAGATTATTCTGTCTGAGCTATCGGCCGTGGTTAAGATACATAACCACGCCCCTCCAACTGTCAATTTTGACAACAACCCTTTTCCCCTAAATATAATACATCCAATCAGCTTGCAGTCCAAAAAAAAAAAAAACAGCCACGCCTACTTATCTAATTTAACATTCCATTTCTCTACGAACTGTGCCCCAACACAAAAAAAAAGGTTGCAACTTCTGGTTCATGCAGACTTTGAAATTATTGATACTCAAAACCATTTTTGATACTACAAAAAACATTGCATTGCCACAGATTTTATTTAAATTACAACATTTATGCAGTTCCTAATTTATATATTTGAAAGAGTGATAAATGGACAAAGCTGAACTGTGGCAAGAGAGACTAGACTTAAAATCCATATTTTTTGTCAACACAATGCAACAGAAGTGGTTTATATGAAGGCAAAGGCCTCTAGATGACACTTACTTTACCAAAATAAAATATGATCATGCCTTTATTTTTAATTATTTAATTAGAAGAGTAAGGTCTGACTTTGCTTAGACAAAAGTATTGTCAGTTAACAGAAAAAAAAAAGAATATTGTGTATGACTCTCATGAGCTTGGACGACTGCATCCATACATCTCTGCAATGACTCAAATAACTGATCTGGAATGGCAAAGAAAGCGTTCTTGCTGGATTCCCAGAGTTCATCAAAATTATTTGGATTCATCTTCAATGCCTCCTCCATCTTACCCCAGACACACTCAATAATGTTCATATCTGGTGACTGGGCAGGCCAATCCTGGAGCACCTTGACCATCTTTTCTTTCAGGAACTTTGATGTGGAGGCTGTTGTATGAGAAGGAGCGCTATCCTGCTGAAGAATTTCTTCTGCAGTATTTGTGAAGATTGGGATACAGTTCAACAGATGGTAAATCTGAAAAATCTACCTTCTGCCACTTTTCCAAATGATCAACTAGAAGTCAAGCTATTATTTGTTGCTCTTACAACTGGGCTTTTGTCAGGTAGTGTAATAATAGAGCAACAAAACAAATGGTTTGTTCTTACAAAAACAAAATATCTCACCTGCATTGAGCAGCAACAGGGCACAGTCAAAGTGAGCTTTAGCACAGGCAGCATGTAAGGGTGTCCCAAAGTAAATGTCAAAGGCCTCCAGCAGCGCTCCCTTTGCTATCATCAGCTTCACACAGTCTGGGTTTCCTGCACAGAGATGCACTCTTGATGAAAATAAATAAAGTATAAAAACAGTGTTGATACAAACCTTGCATGTTTCACCTCGTATGCAGGCCTCATGAAGGGGGGAAGCTGTGAGGGCGGTCAGGGAAGGGTTGACCGATGCTCCGTGATCCACCAGCAGCTTTACACTTTCTATACTGCCAGCAGCACAAGCGTGGCACAGAGGAGTACTGCCATGGATGGTGCGCACATCCACCTGCGCACACAAATTATACAGTCTTTTATTATTATATAAAGCTCATTTTTATTACTCTAAATGTATCTGCCACAATAAAGAAGACTTAGAATTTGTGGAATATATTTATGAATTTTAAAAATGCTATAGGTTTTTGTATGCATTCAAACAAATGCTCAAATTCCAAGTGAAATTTGGAAACTAAGTCTCGAACTGGTCCAAGCAGATGTTCCATTAACGCAAGACATTGTCTCATTTAGCTTAAAGGGCTTCATTATTCTAAGGGTAATCTGGATAAAATATTTCCAGAAGGGTTATGGAGCAGTTGTTCTGGACTGGAAACGCACCTGAGCTCCAGCCTCCAGCAGTATTTTAACGCAGTTGGGATGGGCTTGGATGCAGGCATCATGCAGAGGTGTGAAGTTATCCACAGACACGATATTAACTGATGCTCCTGCTGCTATCAGCTGCTGTAACTGCAGAGCGCGACCCAGAGACGCAGCCTCATGTACCGGCGTACGGTCTGCCCAGTGACCTAAACACACAGCTTATGGTAATTTATAACTGTTATGGCGATCATAATTTCACAATCTATTGCATAGCAATGTTAAGCACTGGGCATGAGTGTGTTGTGCACCAGAAGCAATGTTATAGAATAAATACTCACCGATGTCACCATAATATGTTGATCTGGCAGAGGTCAGTTCCATAATTTAATACTTTTAAGTGAAATTTAAAATACATCACTCGCACAATAAGCAAACACCATGCTGCTGACAAGGTAAATATGATATATTTAAAGAAGACGCTTGTGTGGTGTTATGATTTGCGACATTTCAGACTGAATACGGCAAACACGGAAGGGATTATGGGAGACGTAGTTCCTCCACAATACCAGCATATAATGCATTCATCAAAACATTACTTATACCAGTGTTCCAACTCTTTCAACACCAAATTCAAGGACTTTTTAAAACCAATAATAATTTGAAATCGAGCACCTTTGTAATTCACACCACAACATACAGTAGTCAACATTTAAAGTGGATCAAAAAAGGTCAAAAGGTGTTGTTCAATAGGTTTAGGAAAACTTTAATGAAAGGTTTGTTGACTACTTTATAGAGTGGTATTTTACTTCTGATTTCATTTCTGTACCTCATTGGACTCACCAAAAAATCCATAAAAAGGAAATTTGGTCCCATTTAGGTCTGAACAACATTGTCTAAGCATCAACATCACATTGTACAAATCTAAAGCATGTGGATTGATTATAATTAAGCAGAAAACACCTTTCAGAACACATGCAAAGTTTGATGCTAGAAGAGAGAATGATTTTGAAAACCTGTGACTAATGTTTTAGTGAATTTTAAGCATTTGTGCATAAGATTTAAGAATTTTTAGCTTTAGTAAAGATAAAATGTGATTGTTTAGGAAGACTCGACAAAAAAAGGTCAAAAAGACAAGAATGGGTGTTGTTCAATAGTTTTAGGACTTTAATGCAAGGTTTTGATTCACTTCAAAATTCATGGCTATATACAGTTGAAGTCAGAATTATTAGCCCTCCTGAATTATTCGCCCCCGTTTATTTATTCCCCCAATTTCTGTTTAACGGATACCAGATTTCTTCAATATATATCTAAACATAATAGTTTCTAACTCATTTCTAATAACTTATTTATTTTATCTGCCATGATGACAGTAAATAATATTTGACTAGATATTTAAGACACTACAGCTTAAAGTGACATTTAAAGGCCTAACTAGGTTAATTAGGTTAACTAGGCAGGTTAGGGTAATTAAGCAAGTTACTGTATACCAATGGTTTGATCTGTAGACAATCCAAAAAATATATAGCTTAAAGAGGCTAATAATTTCGACCTTAAAACGGTGTTTAAAAAATTAAAAACTGCTTTTATTCGAGCCGAAACAAAACAAATAAGACTTTCTCCAGAAGAAAAAATATTATCAGACAAGCTGTGAAAATTTATTTATATATACACCTTACAATTAATATTTAAATTAAAATGTCATGATGATGTTTTGAATGTGTACCATTTTGAAGTGATAACCAAAAAACTATAATACACTTAGTTGAATCAATACTGGTTTATATTCAAATGCGAATTCTGGAGTATTGATACAATGCATTAATTATCATAGTTTGTGTATAAGATTTAAAATTTGATAGATTTTTGTTCAGTTTTTGAAAGCAGCACAGTACAATAGTTGAAATAACACCATAAACTTTTAAATTCAAGCACTTTCAAGGACCCATATTTGCTTTTAAGTACTTTCCAGGCCTTGAATTCATGTCTGAGATTCAAGTACTTTCAAAAACTGTGTGAACCCTATAAAGTGTAATACACTTTCTTATGCACTTAATACAAAGTTAAAGCATATTTAATCATGCTGGAAATTGAAAAGTTCAGTTGAAATGTTGACTGTCATGTGTTCTTTAAAAATAATAATGTAAATAAGCAGGTTCCGAAGTATAAAATAGCATAATATATTTGGTAAATAACAGTGTTGTAAAGTAACCAATTACAAATACTCAAATTACCGTAATCGAGTAGTGTTTCTCAGAAATTGTAATTCACGTAGTTTTATAAATGTGCACTTTTACTTTCCCTTGAGTTCATTTTTAGTGCTGTATCTGTATTTTTACTCCACTACTTTCCTTCAACCTGTTACAATTAACCAATTACAGGGTAATCCTTATTCCTCACTACTCTTGAGTGCTTTTAAAAGGTCTTTTTACTCATACTTTGAGTAATATTTACAACAGATACTTTTACTCTACATTTCTAGGCAAGTAATGCTTTTACTTGAGTATGATTTGCCAGTACTATTTCCACCACTGGTAAATAATGAAAAAAAAAAAATAATGAAAACACAAAGTCAGTTTTCCACAAGTTAACATTTTTTTTTTACTTCGCAGTACAGAAATCATTTGAGCCCCATCCGTTCAGCATGTGTTTTTTAAAACATTGGTGACATTTTGCACAGGGCCCCGGTCATGTCAATACTGCCGTAGACATTTTGGTCCTTGCTAACACGTCAGAGCCATTAAGCAGAAGTCAGCAGCCGATGCCTGCTCCTCGCTCTGCTCTGAGGCGAGGGAGAAGGAGAGCGATCTCCCCAACACACACACACACGCACACTAGACAAGCAGATTCCAGACTTACAATTAAGCAGCTTTCCCCGCTGACGTGTGATAACCTCTGCGTAGTGGCCTTAGAATCACGCATAACCCATCAGAAAAGAGATGCAAGGCGAAAGCTGGCCCTTCCAACAAGTAGCACGATTTACAGCTAATAAATGGGGGGGTCAGTTATGTCAAATCACATGAGCATATTGCAAAAACGAATACTGTGTGGTCGGACATGAGTAGATTATCTACACTGTGTGTGTGCTTGAGACGTCCCTTCGATCTAAATTGCAAATTCAGGATTTTAGCTGAAGCACCAGTTCTAATCTGTAGGAAGATAGAATAATGAATAATCCCTGGAAGTTACCTTAGAAGTTGATAGAATAATAGTATGGTGTGTGCTGTTAAACCTGCCCGAATTGGAAACCTAGCAGCCGAAGCTTTAAGGTTGTCTTCTTTAAAGCTGACGCTGAGACATTTATTTATTATTGTTAAATATGCATTTCTTCATATAACGTGAACACATCTGATCATTTGGCATCTTTGGACTTGTCGCATTTCATGTCTAAGCAGGTTGAGATAAAGATCGCATGATGGAAACTGAATAAAGGGCGATAAACAGTGCAAAATGGATCTTGTTTCCCGATTATAAAAAGCAGACCGGCAAAACCTTCTCCCCCTTCTCCCCCCTGAAAATGCTAAATTTGTATAACAGTTTACATGAATTTCATTACGGGCAAAACATACACTTGAATAGCCAGCTTGCCCACTTTTTTTTTGTTTTGTTTTAAATGTTAAGATTATGATGGTCTGAATATCTGATATTCAAGAGCAGCTGGAGCTAGTTTACTGGTCAGCAGCGTCTCCAAATATGTCGTTCTTCTTGCGCTCCATTTCGGCAAAGTCAAACTCCGTGCCCGTCATTCGCTTGTAGATGTCTTTGATATCGTCACAGGTCGTTTCGAAGTGGGTCGTGGCATCATAAGAGCGAGAGATGAAGATCTGGAGGAAGATTAAATAGTGTTAAATAGTAACTGAAGCCACTCTTTGATCCAAATTACATCAGATATTATTAAAAGGATAGTTCTTACAAAATTGAAAATCAAAACCTTTTCAAAAAGGTATTTTGAAGAATGTTGAAAGAAGGTTCCTTAGTAGGAAAAACAAAAACTACTGGAGTAAATAGTTACAGGTTTCTAACATTTTTCAAAATATTTTCTTTTGTGTTCAACAGAAGAAACACTTATAGGAGAGTAAATTTTCATTTTTGGGTGAACTACTCCTTTAAGTTTCTAAATGTTAAATGTATATTGGGGTCTTAAATATTGAGCTTGTCCACTTTCAACCACATCTAGAGATAATCAGAAACATGTGTTTGTAAACATGTATTTAATTATTTTTTTATTTCATTATTGTATTATTGTTTTTGTTACAGGGTTCTTACACCTTTTCCAACTTCAAATTCCAGCACTTTTCAAGCACTTTCAATGAGCATTTTTGTTTTTTAGCACCTAACAACCACAGTATATTACGTTTATGTATGCTGTATGTTTGTATTCACATTTAAATCCATTGTGCTATTTAAAATTACTTAAATTGTAGAATATTTTGGAGCATAGACTTATTGGGATAGTTCACCCAAAAACTGAAAAAATATATTGTTTTAAAAAGTTCAGTTATTAGATGAAGTATCTTTTCAAGTTTGTTCTCTTTCTACCTGAAGTTAATTTCTCAAAAAAAAAAAAAAAATGAGCTTACAGTAAGATTGTGTTTGGGTGTAGTACCAAACTCTTATGACCAGTCATTCGTGATATTTCATGTCCACTGCTATTAAAAGTTCATGTAACAAATTAAATTCTTATTAATAGTCAGAGAATATTCCTGCTGCAAATTAATGAACTGTTCCTTTGTCAACCGTTGTGAAAATCCATCACCAAATATGGAAACCACAGTTTGTAAGCTTTCATCAATATTACTATTTATTATTGTCAATATTACTTCAAGTTAGGACTAAGGCGCTGTTTTGACTGTATGGCAAATGTCCCACCTGTCAAATGGTTTTCATTGTGTAAAATACATTTTTAGCTTAAAGGAAAACTACTCCATAAGATTACGAATTGTTATGAAACCAATGAAATTTTAAATTCAAGCAGGTTTAAGCACTTTGTCCAAAATCCAAACACTTTTCTAACCTTGAAACCCTATATTAAAAATCAAGCATTTTCCAGGATTTCCAGCACCCTTAGGAACCCTGTTGTTATTATCATTCTCTATTTTTCAATTAATTATTTTTATTTGCCTATTTTATTTATGTTATGTTATTGAATGTGTATGAGCGTATGTATAATGTGTATATACATATAAAAGAAGGGTGTGGATATGTGCTGTTTTATAGGGTGCATTGGTATTGTATCTCAAATTAATGTGATAAAAAAATATATCATATTTGGGGGAAAAAAAAAAGAAACGTTATCTTATTGCTTTCATAGTGTCAAACATCATGTGGTTGAATGGAAAACATCTGTAGAAATTGCAAACTAGCAAACAGGGCTTTTGTATATCAAGTAAACATTTACCTGGCTGTCAGATCCCACATCAGTTGGCGAATACAGGTCACTAATGCTCACAAACCTGTGGAAAGGGCAAAATGATTGATTTAATCTGGATGCAAGCACATTAGAATATGCTTTATATGATTTAGATATCAGGAGTATACATACTTC